TGAGAGGCTTGGGATCTCTCATTCCCACGCATCCCTAACGATCTGTCCTTCTGAGCCCTCTGCCATCTTGGTCTAATGCTTTATGTAGGATATAGTGTACACGCCACCAAATGTGCCCCGATTCTGCCTTGAGCATTCACAATAAAAAACATTCATAATGTTCTCACATCCAGCAAAATGCCCTATCTGAAGCACTCTGAGAGGACAGGTCAGGTGGGGAACCTATGGAAATCTTCAAGCATCCAGCTCCAGAGCAGTCCAGTCCCCCTCCAAGACTGCTCTGTTACCAAAGGCAACCTGAAAACTAATGGGTACCCACGGGCACTGCCAGGGGAGGGACTAGGCCAGGTCCAAAAGAATGTCTTCTTCGAAGGTTCTGGCATTCTTAGTGGGGGGACTCCAAGAAACGATGAATAGGCGGGGCTGAGGCTTCATTCCTTTGTCCTTAACAAACATTCCTGAGGCAGCAGGGGGCCGCCTGACACCCAGCTGGTGTACTTAATGTTTCCAAATGAATAGTATTCCCCAAATGCCTCTTGGGAATTCAAGCCACTAGGGTGAAGTTAGTAAGTCAGCACCCTCTCCTCCCCCATTGAAGTTTTCTGTTGGCTGAACCGATGAGGAAAGAAATATGCAAAACTAGCAGGACTGCAAATCTCCACCGTGTCTGCTTACACAGGCCCTGAGACAGGGTCCTGAAATACTAGCAAGTCTCTGCAGGGTCTTAGAGTGGGGACATTATTCCTGCTTTCTCTGTAAAAAGAGCAAGGAAAAAAAATAGGTTCTCAAGCATTTTTTACTAACAACAGGAAGATTTCGAGCTACATATGCTGCCATCGGTCAGCAGAGGTCTCAATGGTTTTCAGGCACGCACCTCAAATTCCATAAATATTAAGCTCCCTGGAAGTTAGTGTCCTTTAACTTTATACTAGACCCAGAGAAAAGTCAGACCTTAACCAGGCCACTCAGCATGACTATAAAATGCAGTACTGGGGAGTCCCACTTGATATTTCCTTTTTCTGGCTATGAAAATGCAGATGAAGCAAGTATCTGTTTGCCTTTTACTATGTAAATAACTCCTTTCTCAGGACCAATACTTGGAAAGAAAACAGCCCTCCACACAAACAGTGGAAATGCCAGGGGCCTCCAAACACACCACCCTCAAGGCCAGGGTTGGCAAAAAGAATTAAATAAACACAAAGACACTTTAAGAGCAAAGGTGACACACCATTAACTCAACAAAGTGATTCACAACTGGGTTATCGTAAAGCAACATCTGGGGATATATCTGGTTGTCACACCTGTGGACAGATAACCAATGGTATCTAGCAAGTAAAGGCCAGGGAATCTGGGGAACAGTCCCCACAACAGAGAATCATTCAACACAAAATATCAACAGTGCCAAGGTTGAAAATTTGTCACCTAATGAATGTCACCAAGTTATTCAACATGACATTGCCAAGAAATTCCAGATGCAAGTAGATAGCACTGATTGGAGGAGAAGGAGGGATGAAGATTCAGGGTCCTTCCCAGGACTCCCCAGGTTTGTGATTTCAGTATACACCATTTAATCTCTCTTGGCCACAGCTGTTTCAACTATTAAAATAGGCTAATGAAACTCCTCCATCTGAAGGTTAGTACTGAACCAGCTTTGTTCTTAACATCCCTTCCAGTCTCTTGCTCTCTGTGCTGCTGGGGATATACCCAGGACCTTGCACATACTAGGCAAGAGCTCCACCCCCAGCTCCTTCCAGTTCTAAAATGTACACTCCTGTGAGACTTTCGAATGACACCACTTTAATCATTAAAAAAAAAAAAAAAAAAAAAAAGTGTCCTCTTGCTGTTGGATCAAACTACTCTCAATTCAAAGCTGGCTAAATAGAAAATAAATTGTGCAAATCCCAAGGCTCCAATAAGTAGCCATTTAATTACAAAGTATTTTTTAAGTGCAAAAGAACTATTTCAAGAATTATTGTTTAATGATTTCTGATGATTTTTTCAGTAGCCACTGGGAAGGGAAGATTCAAAATCTGGATTAATTCAAATTCTGGTGGTAGAATAATTTTCCCTAGTCTCCAACACAACAGTTTGCTTTCACCGCTTAAGTGGCCATAAATGGACATATTTTCCTTCTCCCTTTTAAATAATGTGACAGTTAATTACCAACTCTCAGGCTATATGCAAACATCACCAGTGATCTTAACACAGGAGAAAAACACGTAGGTGAAATATTGCTGATCCACTGATACTATGCAATAGAACATGCGGCTAATATATATGCATGCACAAGTTAGGGTGCAACAGCACATATCTATTTACATATATATATGCAGGGAAATAAGGGACAAATGCCCTCAGATTTTCTGAATCTCCTCCATTCTAAGCAACAAAACCACATTGGAGCATGTGTAAAAGTTAAGTAGGGCTGGAAATACAGATCAGTAGTAGAGTGCTTAGCATTACTGGGCTTGACCAGCAACATCTTTCAATTTCTAGAAATAGGAATAACCAGGGGGCCACTAAGAATGCAGAGTTTTTAGAACTTGGAGTACCTGTACAAAAGAGCAACTTCTGATGAAACTAGTGTATTTTAGAGTTGAAGTAACCTCCACCAACCTTCTTACACCATGCAGGGCCAAAACACAAGACTTCATGTCAAATAATATTTTATAAATTATTCCATCTGCTATAAAGATAGAATTTTTAAAAACATTTTTAAATTTAATATTTTTTTTGTACTGGGGATTGAACTCAGGGGTACTTGAACATTGAGCCACATCCCCACCCCTATTTTGTATTTTTATTTAGAGACAGGGTCTCACTGAGTTGCTTAGTGTCTCCGTGCAGTTGCAGAGGCTGGCTTTGAACTTATGATTCTCCTGCCTCAGCCTCCCAAGCTGCTGGGATTACAGGCCTGTGCCACCGTGCCTGGCTACATTGTTTTAAGAAAAGAAGTACATGAAATGCTAAAGATCTGTGTTATTTACCTGACATCTTTTCAATTGCTGCCATCATAAATGGTCTTTAAGGGCTGGGGATATAGATCAGTTGGTAGAGTGCTTGACTCTCATGGGTTCAATCCATTTAAAAAAGGAAGAAAGAAAAAAAGAAAGAAATGGCCTCTAAAACCTTGTTTTAAAGGCACAAGCTAATGTACTTTAAGAAATATTCAGAAGCATGTCCTGGATGGGCAGGGTAAACACTCTATGACTGCCCATTGATTTTTCAAAGATTCCAATTTGATAAAGGATCACATCCTTAAATTTATAACAATGACAACCTCTTTCCTGAGGACACTGTCTTTCCTGAATTCAACATAAATTCAGTGTACAGTTATGCAAGTATCCCCTTCAAGTCTCCAGTTTTATAAATGTAAGAGAGGACCTGGGGTTGTAGCTCTGTTGTGGAATACTCATCGAGTGGGCAAAGACCTACAGGTTCAACCCCCAGTCCGAGGAGAGACAGGAAGAGAGAAAAATACAGAATAGAGAAATTTGGCATTTCATTTGCTGTTTGGACCACAAAGCCATCTCACTTCCCTAATTCACTACCGGTGGGGTGGGTTAGGAGTCACTTAATTTCTTCCTGCTGTGGTGAGGGAGAAAAGCAGAGAAAAACAGTAAGTCACCTTCAAAAGCTTCTAGTAGCCAGGAATATTTACATTTTAAAGGGGACTTTGTCCCTAACACCCTAACAATGGCTGAGCTCAACGCTTTTCAAAGAAACTGACCACTAGACACTTTCAACTAGCAGAAAACAGACTGGTTTGCTGTTTGTTTCTACAGGTTTATCCAGATTTGGATGGTAAGTTTCAAGATGAGTTCTGTTTTGAGATAAGAGAGTTCCAGTTCTAAAGCAACCCTTCCCCAATACATGCATATTCCAGTTGACGCAAATTAGTACTTTCTTCAAGTCCTACTTTCATAAGCACAATGAAAAGTTTCTGTAAGTTTCTGCAGGTATCTAGTGCGCATGGATATAGGTCTGGAAGCTGAAAGTCAGTAAATACTGATGCGCTGATGGAAATCGAGAAGCTGGGCAGGCGGCAGCTGCCAGTCTGGGTTTCATAGTGATAACGGGTGCAGAACTAGTGACCCTAGAGAAGCAAACAGGTGGGGACGATTCTGTCTACCCCCTGGCTCCTAGGAATGTTCCTCCTCTCACCTCCGGACCGCCCCGCAGGTAGAAGTCGCCCTCTGGAAGACCAGGAGTCAGAGGGGACTCTACCAGGCCCTTTCCCGGAGGGGGAGGGGAAAGGGATCCGGAACGGGAGCCATTTAAACTCAGTTCGGCGCCTGAAATCTCCTGAGAGCGGCCGCGGTGAAGCCGGAACCACACACCTTTGCCAGCCTCGGTGCCCAGGTCTCTGCCGCTGACTCGAGCAGTCGCACGCCTCGGAACAGAGGGCTGCTCCCTCCGGTACTCCCTACCCCGGACAATACCAAGCGTCGCGGCCACTTCGGGACTGTCACCGCGCGGGCCCCGCGGCTGCCTTACCTTGGTGATGACCAGCGGCTCGCCATGCTCGCGGCCGCCCTTCAGGGTGAAGCCCCACGGCGCGCCGCCGCTAAGCTGCACCTCCACCAGCCGCCCGCCGTCGGCAGCCCGCGCCTCGGCCTCCGCCAGGCGCTCGGGCCGCGCACGGGGCTCGGCGCCCTCCATGGCGCTGGGCTCGGGGTGCTCAGCCCCCCGGGCCAGCTCGGCCCGCGCCCATGCACTCTGAGGAGCCCCAGCCGGCCAGAGGCAAGGGAAGCTCCGGGTGCCCTCGCCGCAGACGGCCACTAGCGAACTTGCGCTGCAACTTGGGAGGAAAGTGCCGGCCGGCCCCGGAGGGAGCCGGGAGGGCAGGCGCGCGGCGCGCGGGGGAGGGGTGGGCGGGGAGGGGGCGGGAGGGGCGGGGCAGGCGCTCGCTGTAGCTCGAGCCTCACGGCCGGGGCCGGGGGCGGGGCGCGCGCGCTCGGGGGCGCCAGCCCGGGGCCCCGGGGGTAGGAGGGGGCGGGGTCAGGGGCGCGCTCGGGGCCCGAGCGAGCGAGGCGCACCGGGCAGGAGCTCGCGCCCACGGGCTTCGGTCCTAGGCGCCCGCGTAGGTTCTTGTTGGAAGGGGCGCGCTCAGGGAATTGGCCGGGCAGAAGTAAGGCGATCATGCTCTGGGCCAGCGCCGCCAGCAAGGACCTTGGCGGCCAGGGAGGCGGCCTGAGGTCCCGCCCTTCCTCCCGCGCGAGGGCTTGGCAGCGCTTGGAGGCTCTGGGCGGGTCAACCCGCCGCCCTGGACGCCGGGCCGCAGCAGGTGAGGCGGCGGAAGCGCCCGCTTGCTGCTGGGCGGGGCGCGGCGGCGGTGGCCAGAGCCCGGGTCCTTCCTTCTTAGAGCGCGCCTCCCTCCTGGCACCCCCGCCTTTGTTGCGGCTGGTCCCCGGAGGCCGCACAGGTGAGGGCGGAAGCATGGCAGGAGGCCCTCCTGCGTACCTGCGCTGTTTCTGTGCGGCCACTTCTTGGGTGCATTAGGACGGTCTGTACTTTCAACCCTCAGTGTGCACGGACGCTCTCCTACCCCGGGCTGCAACACCCGAGAGATTCCCCACCCTGGGCGTATTGCGGGTCTCGCCTTAAAGCCTGGCCCATAGTGGGTGTCCTGAAAGCCTGGACTGGAGAAGGATTCTCGACCTGTTCCGGTGAAGGCCTTCCCAGCCTCCCACAAGTTCTCTCCTGTGGCGCCAGCCCGCATAATGAATGGCTTCTTGTGGGCTTTTCCTATTGTCATAGCTCAGGAAGTTTTTCTTTCAAACCTTGCTTTTTTATCTTTCATAGAATTGTTCCAGGAGTTCTTAATGTCTGTCCCCACGTTTACATCTTCTACAAAAGGGAAGTGGTGGTCTGGATTTAATGAAAATGTGTAGATAGCACTGCCCCTTTTCAGTTTCCATGAAATTCCAACCCACATTAAAAATATCTGTACTGATAGGTATTTGCATGCTTTGCAAAAGCTCTCTCTCTCTCTCTCTCTCTCTCTCTCTCTCTCTCTCTCTCTCCATTGCTATCTGTATATGTAGCTGGGCGCTGGTGAACACCTGTTTTCCTCAAAGTGGCTCCATCAGGTGAAGATGCTGGGAGCTAATGGAAAAAAACAAACTGGGAAACCACTGGACCAAGAGTTCGGCATCCCTGGGTCTTTGGGCTCCGCTACTGAAACCGGATTGAGGAATTATACCTCTGGTCTGAGTTTCTTCAAAGCTCATAGGAGGGATTTACACTCTGTGGTCTGCATTCTGTGACTGATCATTTCGTGTCTCATTCAGCCAATTGAATTAAAGCGTCCGATATACTCTACTGTTGCCTGTTATGGCTCTTGCCACATGATTACTGTCCCATAAATAAATTCTACACTATGGTCTCTACAATGCCTCCAGTTAGAATAATGAGGTGATTTTTTTTTCTTTTTAAATGGAGAAAAACCCAAGTGTTGTTGGGTTTTTCTTTTATTTTTGTTGTGTGTGTGTGTGCATGCACGTGCTGCAAATTGAACCCAGGTCCTCACAGCATGCTGGGCAAGCTCTCTACCATTGAATTGTACACCCTCAGACTCCCAAGCATATCTTGGTTGTGACCGTGGTCACATGAATTTACATAAAACTAAATATGGGAAATCCAAATAAGCTTGGTGGATTGTTTTAATGTCAATATCCAACTGTGAAATATTTTGCCATGATTTTATAAGATGTTACCATTGGGAGAGGCAGGTGAAGGGTACATCAGATAGATATTGTATTATTTCTTCAAATTACATGTGAATCGACCAGTCAAAATGGCAGTTATTGAGAATACAAACAATAATAAGTGCTGGAGAGGAGGTGGACAAAAAGGCACAGTTTTACACTTGTTGGTGGGACTGTAAATTATTATAACCACTATGGAAATCAGTATGGAGGTTCCTCAAAAAACTAGGCATGGAACCACCAAATGACCCAGCTATACCACTCCTGGGTGTCTAGCCTAAAGAATTAAGCCCAGCAGGTGGCACATACTTGTAATTCCAGCAGCTTGGGAGGCTGAGGCAGGAAGATCATCACTTCAAAGCCAGCCTCAGCAATTTATCAAGACCTTGTCTCTAAATAAAATAAAGACTGGGGCTATGGCTCAGTGGTTAAGCACCCCTGGGTTCAAGCCCTGGTACCAACAAATAAATGAAATAAAGAATTAAAGACATCAGAGCAATACATGCATACCCATGTTTATAGCAGCACAATTCATAATAGCCAAACTATGGAACCAGCCTAGGTATCCATCAGCAGAAGAATGGATAAAGAAAATGTGGTCTACATACATATTGGAGTTTTATTCAGCTATAAAAAAATGAAATTTTGTCATTTGTAGGAAAAGTAAATGGAACTTGGGACCATTACGTTAAGTGAAATAAACCAAAGTCAGAAGGTCGAGGGTTCTATATTTCTGTCTAATGTGGAAGCCAGAGAGGAATAAGGAAAAGAAAGTGTGAGCTGGGCACGGTAGCACACGCCTATAATCCCAGCAGCTTGGGAAGCTGAGGCAGGAGGATCAAGAGTTCAAAGCCAGTCTCAGCAACAGTGAGGCACTAAGCAACTGAGTCCCTATCTCTAAATAAAAATACAAAAAAAGGGCTAGGGATGTGGCTCGGTGGTTGAGTGCCCCTGAATTCAATCCCCAGTACCCCCTTCCCACCAAAGAAGAAAAAAAGAAAATGTGTTCGTGTGTGTGTGTGTGTGTGTGTGTGTGTGTGTGTGTGGAGGGTGGGGGGTGATCACATGAAAAGCAAAGGGAGATCAGAATTGAGGAAGGGGATCAGGAGTGGGAGATGGAGAGGGAGTGCTGGGCAGGGATATCAGCCAAATTGCATTGTGACATCATATCCATATGTAACAAATCCAATGTGCACAGCTACAATGCACCAATGAAGAGTTAAAGAAGTGGATAGATGGATGTGATAAAAGATAAAAGACAATGTTAGGGCTGGGGTTGTGACTCAGCAGTAGAGTGCTAGCCTAGCATATGTGAGGCACTGAGTTCAATCCTTAGCACCACATAAAAATATATAAAGGTATTGTGTCCATCTACAATTCCCCCCCCCAAAAAAAAAGACAAATGTAAATGGCCTAGTGTGCTTATTGGAATCTACAGAAGGCTCCCTGTTCCCGATGCTCTCCTTTCACCACCCCTACCCCCAAAACTGGTATTGACTTAAGTCTCAACTCTTACCTGCCACTGAAATCCAGACCATAGATATACTACATAGCAGAAACAGTGATTTTGTTGCTGCCTTAAATCCATCATTATTATATGCAGCCCCAAAGTCCTTTTTAACATTTTATATTCACTATGTAATCCTCAGGTTACCCAACTGCCACTTGAAAGGCTCATACTTTTTCAATTTATTTCTTAAAACTTAGGTGCAAATTTATAGTCACTTTGTTAAACATCATTTTGCTGAAGGGTTTTGTTTTGTTTTAATTTCACATTAGGCATCCCTCCAGTTTAGCATTACTTCAATATTTATAAGGCTGCTGTCTATATTGACATTAATAAATATGCTAAAGGGACTGGACCAAGACTTATGTGACCTGCTATGAGACAGATACCCTCTCAAAATCATAAATCCTTTCTTTAGCATTCTTGAGGTTATGTTGTTGAGCACGTCTGTCCATGCTGTCAACACATCGAGATTTCTGTATCCTATTTATTACATCATCACCAACTACTGTCAAATATCTTGTGAAATTACTAACATCTTGTGACTGCAAGACATTACCCATACTTTATCAGCCTTGCATCCCCTTGGGAAGAGTTTAGTATGACATTAAACTAGTGTGGACTCCTGAGAACTCATGACTTGGATGGAATTTGCAGAGGTAGGATATGTTTGTCACGATCTGTCTTGACTCCTTTTGGAAAGCTGGAGACATACTTGGTCTCTGTTGCTTCTCTTTGAACTTTTAGCAAGCAGATAGTCTTGTGGGCCTGCAGAGAACACAACTCCAGAGGACCCATGTTGAAAAGTGCAATACCCACGGGTGTTTGTTCCACTTTTACAAATCTTGGAAAGGGAAGAGAGAGGGGAAACTGAGGTACTTCTGCTTTGGCTTTGTCAACAGTGAATGAGTTAATAAATAAAAGTCAAACTAACCCACTTTCAAAGAATCAATAGCTAATCTTTATGAACTAGAGCTCAAATTATTTTGTTCTAAGAAGAAAAGAGACTTACACTCAAAATGTGTTATAGGATGAAGTTCTAAATTTTTACTTTTACCTTTCTAATTAGTGGATAAATCAGTTGGTAGGGTCAGACTTTCCATAAATCTTTTTCATGAGGTAATTTTAAGAAAATATTTTATTGGTTATTGATGGGCCTTTATTTATTTATATGTGGTGCTGCAACTCAAACCCAGTGCCTCACATATGCTAGGCAAGCACTCTACCACTGAGCCACAACCCCAGCACCATGTGATAATTTTTAAAAGGTAAGGGGATAACAGTACAATTCACAATAGCCAAGTTATGGAACCAATCTAGGTACCATCAGCAGACAAATTGATAAAGAAAATGTGGTATGCATATACAATGGAGTTCCACTCAGCCATAAAGAAGAATGAAATTATGTCATTTGCTGGTCAATAAATGAAAGTGGAGATCATCATGCTAAGTGAAATAAGCCAGACTCAGACAAAGATTGAATTTTTTGGGGGTAGGGGGCTCTCATGAAAATAAACAGGAGACCAATATAGAGTAAAGAAAGGGTTAAGGATGAGAGGGCATGGGGAAGTACTGGAAAATGAAAATACAAAATTATGTTATGTATATGAACATGAGTCCCATTTATATATATGATTATAATGCATAACTAAAATAATAACGAGATCAGTAGAGTGTAGCAAGCTGATGGGGGAAAGATGAGGGGGGAAGAGAAGCTACTGGGGAATGAGATTGGTCAAATAATGTACATGTACAAATATAGCATAATGAATCCCATTTCTATACATAATTATAGCACCAATAAAATATTAAAAAAAAAAAACAAAAAACAAGGGTGTAGCTCAAAGGTAGAGTGAATGTTCAGCATGAGGCTCCAGGTTCACTAAAAATGGTAACTATCATTCAAAGAGTGCCTACTATGTACTAGGTGAGTAATATGAATGAATTTAGGTCCTCTCAGCAAATGTGCCTGTTGTGCATATTATTCCATTTTACACACGAAGACACCAACACCCAAAGGAGTCAGATAACTTTCCTGAGGTCATTGAGCCCAGTTGTCCATTGAAGGAAATTTCTACTCATGGGGAAAAGCACCTGTAGCAGAGAGTGGTTTGCACTGGGGCGGGGAGAGCATGTATGATATATTAATTATATGTCCATAATGCTGGGTTTGTTTTCATACTGGGGATTGAACCCACTGAACTACATCCCAAGCCCTTTATGTATATATATATATATATATTTTTTTTTTATTTTTAGAGAGGGTCTCAGTAAGTTGGCCAAGCTGGCCTTGAACTTGTGATCCTCCTGCCCCAGCCTCCTAAATCACTGGGATTACAGGTATGCCCAATGAACCCAATAATAAACCCATTTTAAGGAAGAAGAAAAACCTGGGTGTGGTAATGCATGTTTGTAATCCCAGCAACTTGGGAAGCTGAGGCAGGAGGATCCTCAAGTTCGAAGCCAGCCTCAGCAACTTAGCAAGGCCCTAAGCAACTTAGCGAGATCTGGTCTCAAAATTAAAAGATAAATAAAAGTGAGAGGAGGGCTAAGAATACAGCTTAGTGATTAAGCTCTCCTGGGTTAAATTCCCAGTACCAGCAAAAAAAAAAAAAAAATGTTTTAAAATAATTTGGACTTGTCAGGTTTTCTTTCTGGCAACTAAAAGGATTAAATAAGTAGTGAATAGGAATAGATAGATCAAGATCTATATTATGCAATAAATATAGATACATATCAATACCTAATTTTTTAAGTCAGGAATCACTAAAGAGAAAGAGGGAATATTTACCTGAAGCCATGGTTTAAAAAAAAAAAAGTTTTTGTTTTTTTTTAAAGAGAGAGAGAATTTTTTAATATTTATTTTTTAGTTTTCGGCAGACACAACGTCTTTATTTGTATGTGGTACTGAGGATTGAACCCAGCGCCACGCACATGCCAGGCGAGCATGCTACCACTTGAGCCACATCCCCAGCCCCAAGTTTTTATATTTTAAGATACAGTTTTAGAAAGAATTCAATGACTTGAGTAGCTCCATGGCAGAGTATATGCTTAACATGCAAAGCCCAAGGTTCAATTCCTAGTTCTGGAAAAAAAAATTCCTTTTT